AGTGGTGATGGGAGAAAGAGCAACGGAAGAAGTGGTGATGGGAGAGTAATGATGGGAACAGGGGTGACGGGGGCGTGGTGATCGGGGAGTGGTGATGGGAACAGGGGTGATGGGAACAGGGGTGATGGGAACAGGTGTGATGGGAACAGGGGTGATGGGGGAGTGTCGATGGGGGAGTGTCGATGGGAGAAGGGGTGATGGACAAGGGATGATGAGAGAAGGGGTGATGGGGGAGTGGTGATGGGGAAGGAGTGATGGGGGAAGTGGTGATGGGGGAAAGGGCAATGGGAGAAGTGGTGATGGGTGAATGATGATGGGAACAGGGGTGATGGGGGCGTGGTGATTGGGTAGTGGTCATGGGAGAAGTGATGGGAGAGCGGTCATGGGGGAGTGGAGATAGAAGAAGGGGTGATAGGAGAGTGATGATGGGAGAAGGAGTGATGGGAGAGTGTTGATGGGAACAGGGTTGATCGAACAGGGGTGATTGGGGAGTGGTGATGGGAGAGAGGGTGATGTGAGAAAGGGTGATGGAGGAGTGGTGATAGGGGAAGGGGTGATGGGAGAGTGATGATTGGGGAGTGGTGATGGGAGAAGGGGTGATGGGCGATTGGTGATGGGAGAAGGGGTGATGGGGGAGTGGTGATGGGAGAAGGGGTGATGGGAGAAGGGGTGATGGGCGGTGGGTGATGGGGAAGGGGTGATGGGGGATGGGTAATGGAAGAAGGGGAGATGGGGGAGTGGTGATGGGAGAAAGGGTGATGGGAGATTGGTGATCGGAACGGGTGATGTGAGAAAGGGTGATGGAGGAGTGGTGTTAGGGGAAGGGGTGATGGGAGAGTGGTTTTAGGAGAGTGATGATGGGGGAGTGGTGATGGGAGGAGTGGTGATGGGGGAGTGGTGATGGGGGAATGGTGATGCGGAAGGGGTGATGGGAGAGTAATGATGGGAAAAGGGACGATGGGAGAATAGGTAATGGGCAGTGGCTATGGGAGAAGGGGTGATGGCGGCGTGGTGAGGAGTGGTGATGGGGGAGTGCTGATGGGGAGTGGTGATGGGAGTATTGATGGGAGAAGGGGTGATGGGGAAGCGGCGATGGGGGGAGTGGTGATGGGAGAAGGGGCGATGGGGGTGTGGTGATGGAAGAAGGGGCGATGGAGTGGTGATGGGAGAAAGAGCAACGGAAGAAGTGGTGATGGGAGAGTAATGA